CAAAATAAGCATTTGAGGACACTATTTCTATCAAAATAAAGCCCTAAATGAGTCCAATATATGGACTCATCACAGATCGTAGGTGGGGTTCCATCGTTATGACCCAAATCTTTATAGTATCTATTCCCACCCACGGTCAACCTGTACGGTTCATTGTTGGACCTACAGACCGTAGGTGAGGGTCAACAGCCAATTAGAGGGAAGTTGATGTTGGTCAACTTCAAATGGCTATAACTTTTAGCACAAAAGTCTTTAGGTAGCCCATTACCAACCCAATGATAGATAATTGAATTCTCTTTCCAACGCCGCCGAGTTTGCTAAAATCCCATCTCCGAGTAAAAAGTTATGCTAATTTTAGTGAAGCCCTGTCGGGAGACTTGACCGACGACCCCTACCTATGGTTGGTAGGTCAACCCATGGACCTTAGGTCCCTCCTGGTGGCCTTCGTCAGAATTAAGTCAGGTTCGTTTTGGTCCTTTCTCCTATGTGTTGGTCACTTAAACTATGTCGTTTAATCCCTGAACTACGTAGTTTTGGTCAGTTTAAGGCTAGTAACTTAGTCAGATCTTTCCCTAAGCGATTCATTCACTAAAAATTCGTCAAACTTAGAACTCAAGAGGAGAAAAGAGGCAACCCAAACCCTTCCAATAATGCAACAAGTTTTCTTCAATTCTATCCCCAAAATCAAAGGATTTCTCTGTAGATTTCGTCACCAGGTATGTGGGATTTCACTGGTGGATTCTTTTCATCCACTAGGTCCCTAGAATTTAGTTAGATTCTTGATTCCTATATATTTCTTAGACCTAGCTAGGGTTTCTAAGATCTTAGATATTGGTTGTGATTTAGCTGTTAGAGTATTTCCAAGTAGATATCATGTTTTTGTGGAATCATTGCTTAGTTCTTTGCATGAAACTCAGAACCCTAGTTGTGTAGATTCTCTTAGTTCATGAATTACACATGCTAGGTCAGTTAAACATATATACATGCTTCAGTTTTTGATTGTCACATTATTAGTATATAATTGTTACATTCTCAGATTTACATGTCACTATTCAGTATTTTAGTATTTCAGTCATAGTGTATCATATACATATTCAGTTGGGAGTAGGCTTAGCACCGAGTGGACTAGGGTTTCAGTGTACCCATATAGTCCTAGAACTACGTGCCCCTGTAGGTTAAGTCCCATCTGTGGGCATAAAGTTTAGTGATTACGCTAGTCATGCCTTTATACCTCTGGCAAGGTATATCAGGCCCTTCGATGGGGTGTATACATCGGACACCACAGTTAGGTCACATGGTGGTTATATCGGTTACTAGTAGCTCCTACATTCAGACTCTAGTGTATTTGACCAAGTTTTCAGATATACTTTAGTATTCAGTTTCAGCATGTTATGTACTTGGTCATTGCTTTCAGTTCAGTTCATTTCAGTATGCATCAGTATTTCCATCATGTTCAGATTATATTATTGATTAGTTATGCTTTGTTCAGCTTATATGTTTGTTCAGATTTTATCCTATCCTGCATGCTCAGTACCTTCCAAGTACTGACGCATACTTTATGCTACATCTTTTCATGATGTAGGTTCAGGTCCTCAACATCCAGATCATGCGTGTATCGATTCTCGATCCACATTCAATATATTTAGTGGTGAGTCCTCATACTTCGAAGGCAATAAACATGTTTTTAGATTTAGTCTTTCATTTCAGTTTCAATTTTGCTAGGGTTAGTTGTGACATGTCCCAGCAACTCTAGTCAGTAGAGGCTTTCCAGACAATAGTATTAGATTCAACGTAGTTTTTTAGTGATTGTTCAGTATCACTAAACTCTTATTCAATATTTTTATATTCAAACAAGTTTTGGGTATTCCCCACTATTAGTTATCTCATGATTTAGGTTCCGCATTAACTTATCTTCTCATAGATTTGTTCAGTTTGCTTATGATATGCCAACTGATATACCGTGAGTTTACGATATTTTTAATACATTTCACTTAAGAGTTTTGTGTGTCTAGGGCCATTTTGTATTGGTTTTTATGTATTTTTATCGTGTTTGCAGGAAATATGTTCAGACGTGGAAACTGAGAGACACCATTGAAGAATGTGCAGAAAAGGGCATCTACGGAGGTGATCTACGGACCGTAGGTCCATTCACGCTCCATAGATGATGACAGCAGATGGGCAGGCAAGGCTTGAAGGAAAATCAGGGAATTCTTGACCAAGTGTGGAACCACAGTTGCAAACCACAGACATAGATCGACCTACGGGCCGTACTGCTGTTTCGTCAAATCATTCAGAGAGGGGTTCCAGTACTGTGGATCAACCCACAATTCGTACTGTGGATCAGTCGATTGATTCACAGAAGTGGAGACTTTTGAAGATTGGAAAATTGCCGATGTTCTAAGCCACGGAAGGGACCTACGGACCGTAGGTCAATCCACAATCCATAGGTCAATGTCGTAGATCGAAAATGCTACCTGAAACATTATTTCCTTGTTTCGTTTCCTTTTTAGTTAGGGCTTATTTTTCTATATATAGGTCATGTAAACCTCATTTTACGGAGTTAGACATTATTATTCTTGTTCTAGTTTTTGGCGTTGGAGATTAACTTGAAACTTTAGTAATTCTTAATTTCCTAAGTTCGTTTTGAAGATTTTAGTTTGGAAATTCAAGTTGAAATTCTGGGTTTATCATTCTCATTATGTAAGTTCATGATTTCTTCTTCTAAAAATATGTATCGTGTTCTTGCTATTGTGGATAACTAAATCCACAATTAGGGTTGTGGGAACCATGAGCGATTAACAAAATATGAATAGTAACTAAGCAATTCTTGAATAGTGTTATTGCATGCATTGATAATTCTTTTGTTTGGAAGTCTTTTTAGTGGTTGCAATAGTTAAAACTCTCCTCGTTACTACTTGCCGGACCAAGGAGGAATTTAACACGAAAAGAATTATCAATATAGATTTAGAGTGATACTATCTAATAGTCTAATGTCAATTGGTGCGAGGGTGAAAACTAAGCCATACATCGATGTGATGTCTAATATGAGGTAAATGTATGGGTTAGTAAATTATACACACGTAGCCGGACCAAGGTGCAGGGTGAAATTCTCTATTTGCCGGACCAAGGAATTAGAGATACCTAAATTATCACTTTTCATGTAATACACTAGGAAATGGTTGCTATTACTAGGATTATTGAATTATGAGCTTATGGGGAACACGTACACCCTAGTTACTTTCTCATCTTGATAACAACTAAAGTTTAAATCTTGCTCATTGATTACTTACATAATTTTCTGAATTTAATTCATAAATCCCCCCTTTTAATTAATTGTTTTCGGAAATACATTGACTAAACAAATATAATCGTGGGTTAAAGTTAAGTCTAAACCATATTCCTCGTGGGATCGACCCCAACCTATAAGTTGGCTGCTTTACTTGATAACAATCGCTTATGCTTCTTTAGGGAGGTGTAATTTGAGCGTATCAAATTTTGGCGCCGTTACCGGGGAATTTGGCTTTTAGATTAAGTTTAACTACATTATTGAACTTTAGTCAAATATTTCCTAATTTTACTTTTTCTTTTGTTTTTGTCTCTCTTAGGTTCCTACTATGGTGTATGCCAAGTACAAGGAGTCAATGAGAACCACTTACTCCCTACGCTCCAGAACTGAACAGAACTTTGCAGAGAATGAATAATCAAGGAGTGCCAACTAATCCTATCGGAGGAGAAGTAGGTGATGGTGTTGGGTTGCAGTCTCCGATGGTTGATGATGAGAATAATCAGATTCAAGCTGAGAATCTATTGACAAATGCAGTGAGGTTACTTCATCAACCAGGACCAAGACTGCCTGATAACTATAGGGTCAACTTTAGTGCTGTTGAATCTGACGGTCCTCTTGTCCTACCTCCTCTACCTCAGGGGCATACATTTGTGGTGACTAGCAGTTTGATGCAGATGCTTACTACGAGGGGCTTGTTTGCGGGTTTGTCATTGGAGGATCGACATGCGCACGTAACCAAGCTAAGAAGTGTTTGCAAAAGCTGTATTAGTCGCCCAGACTTAGATATGGATGTCATTCGATTGCGAGTATTCCCTCTATCGTTGACCGGCGATGATGCTGTGTGGTTTAATGAGCTTCCTTATAACTCAATATATACATGGGACCAATTGACTGATGTGTTCCTAGGAAGATTCTTTCCAGTGTCCAAGAAGCTAAACCATAAAGATAAACTCAACAATTTTGTAGCACTTCCCGGAGAGTCCATGAGCAGTTCTTGGGATAGGTTCATTGCATTTATACGAGGTGTCCCGACTCACTGAATTGATGATGAGTCGCTGAAGGAATATTTCTACCGAGGTTAGGATGACAACAGTAAGGCAATGCTTGATACTATTGCTGGAGGTTCATATGGTGAGTGTAGTTTTGAGCAGATTACGGTGAAACTGAAGAAGATCTCCCAAAACAACAAAGCTTGGAGCACTAGAAAGTCGGATACTGGAAGGAACACGTTTGCCTTCCATACTACAAACAACTAATTTGCAGATGAGATTCGTGAGGAGATGGTTCAGATGAGGACTGAACTAGGGTTGGTTTTGAAGCATGTGAGCGGAGAAGGTAAATGCTATGAATTATTGACTAGGAATCCACCTCCGATTGAGTAGTGTTATTATGAAGAGGATACTTATGCGATGAATGATCAAACCGGGGTTTCCAACCAAAGGCCCAAGGTTCCAATACGGATAACTGGCGCCAAGGTCAAGGAAACCAAGGTCGGAACTATGGCAACTACAACTGAGAGGGTCAATATGTCTGGAATGGGAACTTCAATCGTGACAACAACTACAACCAGAACAACTATGGCAACATAAATGATCGGGTTAGACCTTATGTTTTGCCTCAAAATCAGGAATCTGGAAGTAGTTTGTCACGTATTGAGGATATGATGTAGAAGATGATGAGAAGGTTTGATGCAACTGATGAGAATGTGAATGAGATGAGAAATGACTTGTCTGAAATTGGCCAGAAAGTTGATGCCCATGCAGTGTCGATAAAGCAACTTGAGCAACAATTTAGTCAGTTGTCTGCTACTGTGAATACATACCAACCAGGAACGCTTCCCAGCAACACCATCCAAAATCTGAAGAATGATGGGCTTTGTATGGCAGTCACGACTCGTGAAGGAAAGCAGACTACTGACCCCCCCATGCCATCCGATGTAGAAAAAGTGGTAGAAACAGATGGTGATGAGATTGAGGTTACCGAAGAGACTAAAAATGCCACAGAAAATGAAGCGGAGATAGCCCAAAAGGTTGTTCCCATTCCTAGACCTCCACCTCCTTTCCCACAGAGGTTAGTGCAGAAGGCTGAAGAAGGAAAGTACTGCAGGTTCATAACTATGTTGAAACAGCCTTCCATCAATGCCTCTTTGATAAAAGCTTTGGAGCAAATGCCTTGGTATGCAAAGTTCATGAAGGACTTGGTGACCAAAAAGAGGGCTGTTAGTTTTGAGAATGATGAGAGGTTGCAGCATTGTAGTGCCATTTCTACGAGGTCACAGGTACAAAAGATAGAGGATCCTGGAGCTTTCACTATTCCATGCACCATCGGTAAGATGCACTTTGCAAAAGCTTTGTGTGATTTGGGTGCCAGCATTAACTTGATGCCGTTGTCAATTTATAAGAAGTTGGGTTTAGGAGCTCCAAAACCAACTGTGATGCATTTACCTATGGCTGATAGAACTATGAAAAAGCCCATTGGAGTGCTTCAAGATGTCTTTGTGAATGTGGGGCCGTTCATTTTTCTGACAAACTTTGTTATACTTGATTGCGAGGTTGACTTTGAGGGCCCCATCATCTTAGAGAGATAATTCCTTGCTACTGGGTGTGCCTTAGTTGATATGGAGAGTGGGCAAATGAAGTTTCGACTGAATAAGAATGAGGTGACCTTCAACGTCTATAAGTCTATAAAGCAGGAAAGTGATGTTAAATCGGTATCGGTGGTGAGTCACACTTTCGGATGAGGTGCCTTGACACGGAGAAGAAGCGCCATGCTCAAAAGACATAGAAGTGCAAACTAGCTCATAGTGATCTGGTGTTGTTTTATAAATCAAGGTTGTGCTATTTTCCGAGTAGATCCAAGTCCCAATGGACTGGACCATTCAGAATGACCCAAGTGTCCCCACATGGAGTGGTTGAGCTCGAGAAAAGGAGTGGGACAAGGTTCAAACCCGACCAACGGAGGATAAAAAACTACATAAGAAGTTCTGAGAGTGTAAATGCAGTGATAGAGGCATGGAATCTTGATGAAGTCTGAGTAAGCAAGGGGTCTACATCGTGCCGTGATGTTAAACCAAACGTTTCTTGGGAGGCAACACAAGATGTAAAATCTAGCCTACTATATGTTTTTCTTTTCGATTTAGGAGTTTTCTTCGTTTATTTGAATTTTTGTAATCCTTTAGATAGGTGTTTTATTTTCTGTATTAGTGTTGGCTAGATATAGCATAGGCTCTGTGTCTAAAAAGTGTCCAAAAATTATAAAAATAATGGCCTAACGATTGCTATATGTACATGGATGAAAAGGCCAAATCTGCATAAAAAACACTGTACAGAGGTCTACGGACCCCATTAACGGTCCGTGGGTCAATCCACGGACCGTGAATGGTGTCCGTCCATCCCATGTATGTATCCTTAATTTGTCCAAGTGTGGGTGCCTATAGTAGCGTGAGCACTACTAATGGTGCAACGAGAGTTGATGTTAGCACTACTGATGGTGCAGAGATGAGAGATGCGGGAACTACTGAGGGTGACCGAAGTGTTGATCCAGCGGGCTCCAGGAAACCGGACCCACTTGCTTGTTGATGAGTCTTCGGCGCCATGCGCCACAGGTTTGCTTCCCCCAATCCATTACTTTTTACTGTTTGTGTGTGCATTGGGGACAATTGCGCCTATTTTTGTTGGGGGTGGGGTAAATGGATTGTGAGTGATAGGGTGAAGTCTGAGTAACCCAACTCATAATCCTCTCTTGGGGTTTTCTTGCCTGTGTTCTTTTCCCCCAAGAGATTGCTTAATTTCTGTTGAACTGGAATGTGTTAGGACTGTATGTGTAGAAATATGAGAAAGAATGAAGCCTGATGGCAAAAGCTTTTTGAAAAAAAAATGATACATGTCCAAAATTTGTGATATGTGCTAAAATTTGTAGACTAGAATGAGTTGAATATGTTGGCTCTGAGTAGGACATGATAATGAACCAACTTGATGGCATGACTTAAGCTAAAACTTGAATTGGGTAATCTGATAATATGATAATGAAACTATGTGCCAAGAGTGTGAGAGTAGTTGATTGTTCAAATAGTGTATGTGCCAATCAAGAACTTGCCCGGTTAGTCCTGCTTAGACAATCTACTCTAGAGGATAGGAAGTGATCATAGGCCCTTGTTCTGATAAGTCCACAAATTGCCTAAAAGAAAAATCCAACCAAATGAAATAAATGCTCCCTTTGATCCAAAGGCTTTGAGCCTAAATTAGACCATTTCTTTCTAAACCCCTAACTCACCTTCCCATAATCTACTGTGTTGGTCCCGGTCCCTCCTTGGACATGTGCACCTCAACTTAGGCCAAAAGCCTAAGTTGAGGGTGGCTAATGTAAAAAGTAACCTCAATCCTGGCCCTGATCCAACATCGGGTATTGTGCACCTCAACCAATGGAAAATCCATAAGTTGAGGGTGGATATGAAAGGGGAAACCAAAAGAAAAATGGGTATGAAAAGAGTTTGGGGTTGAAAAAAAAAGAGAAAAAGGAAAAGAGAGGAGAGAATGTGACTTTGTGCAAAAAAAGGTGAACAAAAGTGTTGAAAGCGAAAGAAAAGAATAGACTCAAGAAAAAGAAGAAAGTGAAAAAATAAAGAGCTACAAAGTCTAAAGTCACATCCATTGTTGAAGAGAATCAAGGGAAATAAGGTAAAATGGTAGGATGTCAAGAATAAGGCAAAAAGAGGTAGAAATTCTAATGTAATGTCAAGGAGGGCAGAAAGTCACTAAAGAGTATCCAAATGTACCACACCTGACCCTGAGCCTACGTTACAAGCCAAGAAAGTCCTATATTGATCCTAGAAACTAGTTTGGAGAGTCTAAGCAGTGAAAATAAGGGCAAGCCTATGGTATTGAGCACTAACTGTACTTGAAGTTACTTCTGAGTGTGAGTGTTGAATGAATCCTTGTACTCAAAAGCATATTCATTGTGTGAAAAAGGGATTTTTTTTTAGGTAAGGTACTAGTTACATTGTCGCAAATTGGTACCTTGGTGAAAGTAAAACAGTGTATGCTGTGTGTTGGTTGGTCGGTTTTTGTCATGTTTGGATCCGCACAAGTTAGCTTGTTGATTCTGGGAGAAAAGATTTGCACTCAAAAGGAGAGTTGGGGTAGAGAGCCATGTGAATGCTTGGGCTTGAAATGCTTACTTCTATACAAGTGTCGTTTAGAGTCTTAGTGTGTCGCTTGAGGACAAACAATGAATTTAAGTTGAGGGTGTTGATATACCGTGAGTTTACGGTATTTTTAATACATTTCACTTAAGAGTTGTGTGTGTCTAGGGCCATTTTGTATTTTTTTTATATGTATTTTTATCATGTTTGGAGGAAATATGTTCAGGCGTGGAAATTGAGAGACACAACTGAAGTATGTGCAGAAAAGGGCATCTACGGAGGTGATCTACAGACCGTAGGTCCATTCACGCTCCGTAGATGATGACCGTAGATGGGCAGGCAACGCTTGATGGAAAATCAGGGAATTCTTGACCAAGTGTGGAACCACAGTTGCAAACCACAGATCGTATCGACCTACGGGCCGTACTGCTGTTTCGTCAAATCACTTAGAGAAGGGTTCCAATCAGGGGCGGACCCACGTGGAGGTGAGGGGGTTCACCCGAACCCCCTCGTCGAAAAATTACACTGTATATATAAGGTCTATTTATGATTTTATGAGTACATATATTAAAATGAACCCCCTCAAATATAAAGAGAAGCATGGTTCAGTGGTTCAGGAGTTCAACTCTAACTTAAAGGGTCTGGGTTCGATTCCCACTCGTTGCAACATTTTCCCATTTGGGTTTTTTTTTCTTTGAATGGGCTCTTGCTTTGGGCTCAAATCCAACTCTATTTCATTGTTTTTGGAAGGTTGAATGGGCTCTCGTTTTGGGCTCAAATCCCAACTCAATGAAATGCCTCATTGTTTTTGGTTCAATGTAAAGCTTTATTATTTTTGTTATCATTATTTTTCTCTCTATGCTATTTCTTTTTCTCAATTTATCTTTGTTTAAATTTATATATTTTAGATATTTTTGTCTTTTATTCTTCTTATTTATACTTCTCATTTTATTTCTACATAAGTCTCTTTTCATGTACTAACGATGAATTATTATTAAATTTGAAATTGATTTACAAAAAATATTATATAAAATAAATTAAATTAAAGTTAATCGAATGAAGAAATTTAAAAATCGTGTATAATATTTTAATAAAATCGAATTAATTGATTTTCCGCCCTTAATTTTATAGTATTTCTTTCTTATTATTTTTCAGTTCGATTTTAAAAAGATGAAAACTAAACTAAACTTATTTGTTCTATTCATCATTTATCTTTTTCACGAATGATCAACCTAGTAAATTGAATTAAATGAACTAAAAAATCGACGATGTCAATTATTTATCTTATGAATATATATTATAATATCTTAGTGGTTGTATTTTTAAAAAAATTCAAAAAATAGAGTAGAACACTGCAATATAAAAGAGAAAAAAAGCACAAGAATTTTTTTTTAAAAAAACCTTGATGAAAAAGGGTAAAAGTAAAAAAAATTAAACGCGACATGACAAGGCAAGTTAAACTTATTGGATTCAGATGACTAGTTTCCTCCTATCTCGCTCAATTTTTTATCTTGTAATTTTCACATGTTTACTTCTTTATATTTCGAACCCCCTCTACAGAAATCCTGGATCCGCCACTGGTTGGAAGGTGCAGTTCATCAACATAAAGTAGAGGTTTTATCCCAAGGGAGAGATAGTCACTTATGTGTTCCTAAGGTGGATGAGTAGGTGAGGCAGCCTTGATTGGGCCAGATTTGATTATGATGTTATGGAAAAGTTCAGCTCATCAGAGATAGATTTAAGACAGAAGTCCTACGTAGATGTAAGGAGAAGGGACTTGGAGTTTGAGATAGATGATTGGGTTTTCCTGAAAATATAACCGTGAAAAAAGTGATGAGATTTAACGAAATTGGTTGGGAAGCAGAAGCAGCCATAAAGGCCTAGTATCCTCATCTCTTTCCTTCCGATTCTGTTTCAGCTTGAGATAATAGTTTCCTCTGCAGTCTTTCAGTTTACTCGTGCGTAAATTCAGTCTTAGTACCTTGTTCCTTCAATTGTTCTTGCATTTTCAGCGTATTTGCATGTTCTTGGAACTCAGTTCAATCAAAAATTAGTTTCTAGTACTTAGTGGTAGGGATTGCAGCTTCTTCCCTTCGTATTCAACTAAGTTTAGACTTCATTCGAGGATGAATGTTCCCAAGGGGAAGATAAAGTAACACCTAGGATCTCAAAATGAAGAAAATCCTAGTTTTTGAAATCTCAAAATGAAGAAAATCCTAGTTTTCGGAAAATCTGGTGCCAGTACCAATGGAACCACCCATGGACCGTAGGTGGGTGTAACACTCCGGAAAATAGTAGGTTAAACTAGAGCCTAAACGTAAGGGTTAAAAATGAAAAATGACTCCCCGTAGATTAGTAGACCATCTAGACTTGAAACGGAGACTATAAGAGTCAAGACCAAAAGGCAAGTGCCAAGGCAAAGGGGCCAAGTCAAAGCCAAAGGCCAA